AGGTCTTTACTCATGTAATCCTCAAGTTGAATCCATTTATTAAAGGCGATGATTTTACAGATGAAGAAATTGAGGCAAGAGACAATGTAGCAAGTATTAGATGAGCGAATAGTTGAAGTTGGACATTTTGATTCTGGAGCCAGCAGTGAGCAGTGGCCCTGCTGGAGCTGCTTTGCTGTATAGTCACTAAGGACATAGATGGTTTCCTGCCCTCAGTGCTATCCACTCCCAAAACATTCCATTTGGTAAAAGACTCTTGCTTCTAATGAACAATTAGCTGGCTAGTGCCCAGCCTTTCTCTTTTCTTTGTGTTGGGCTGTCATAGGTATTGATCCTCAAATGTGGGTATAAGTTAAAGGCCAGCGAGAAGATGGCAGAGCAGCTCTAATTGTGTCTGTGTGTGGGGGTGGGATGGTGCAGGGGAGGGAGGGATGCTGGCCCAAACTCAGATATTGTGTGTTTCTGGTGTTACATTCCTAAACTTGCGGCAGGATGCTTTTCTCCATGAAATGAACAGGTGAGACCAAGGTGCAAGAAAGCCAGTGGGAAGGACACTCCACTCAGTGGAGTGATGTTTGATACAGGTTTTATTCAAGGTGCCCGTTTTTATTCAGGCTGGATTGTTGTATTAGTGTCCTAGGGCTACCACAGCAGAGTAGCATATACTGGTGTCTTAAACAATAGAAATTTATTTTCTCACAGTTCTGGAGGTTGGAAGTCCAAGATCAAGGTGTCAGTAGGATCAGTTCCTTCTGAGGCCGTGAAGGAAGGGTCTGGTCCAGGCTTCTGACCCTGACTTGTAGAAGGCCATCTTCTCCCTGTGTGTTCACATGGCCTTCCTTCTGTACATGTCTGTGACCTAATTTCTTCTTCTTATAAGGGCACCAGTCATATGGGATTAGGGTCCACACTAATGACCTAATTTAACTTAATTACCTCTTTAAAGACTATATTCCAAAATAAAGACATTCTGAGGTACTGGGAGTTAGGACTTCCACATGCAGACTTTGTGGGGACACAGTTCAGCCCAAAACAGCATATAGCAGATACACCTCACCTCACAGAGTTTCTGTTACCCTAAAATAAGGCATGCACATTGGCTAAGTGGTAAATGACAGATGAGCCTTGAATTAATTGTACATTTTAGGGGAGTTGGTGTTAGTTTGTGAATTGAAGAAATGCATAAAATAATTAAGATGTGAAAGGCAATATCCAGTATTGGTCTTTGGTTCCAACTAAGCGGTCTTTGAGGAGTTGTCTGTGAGCCTTTTCTTCTTCCTTATTTTGTAAACCAGTAATTTGGGGACACTTGGTTCAGGGAGGTTTCTGAAGGTCTTCATTTCCATGGCAACAATGGCTTGATTCTTCTCCTGGGCCTCCCCTGACCACAGCAGTGCTGGTTATTGTGCTCAGTGGCAAACGCTTGGACTTCTTCTATTGTCATAAACTCCATAAACCTCAGTTTAGCAGCGTAAGTTCCTGTGGACAATTGATGCTTCACTCGTCACCTGGGTCAGAGATCCCTTGTCAGCATAAGCTAAACTAAGGTACTTGAATTCACTACAGGAACAGGCATGGAAATGAGATTTATCCTGTCTGCCCAAAGTACTTAGAGACTCCCGTGTTGCTGGAATGAATCATGTTCCACGTTTCCTCCCTGACAGTGGCATCCAGTGACTGAGGAACAGCTCTAGCATTTAATGGAAGGATGAAGTCATCTGTCTTCAGTCCTTCTCCTCTCATCTGCTCCACCAACTTTTCTTCACTTGCTCAGTGCCCTCTGGCCTTTTGATGTCCAGCAGTGGCCTGTTATTTCCAGACTCCTTCCAGCCATCTCTCTGTCAGTGCAGAAGAGTGCTTCAAACCTGAAAGGTCTTCTAGGCTCACCCAGCATTTATCATGAAATCCCCTCTATATCCCAGCTCTTCTGAAATGTCTCAAATGGTGAGAAATCCACTGCTTTGGGAAGAATCTCATATCATTTTTTTAAAAACTTCCATTTTTATCACATTCTTCCTTTTTTGGAAACATGAGTTTTGTTCCATTTAAATCCCACACATGGTTCCTAGTATGCTCTCGATCAATCACACTCAGTCAGGTGAACTCACCTTGCATTTGACCTCCACTGCACTTCGGAGGACAGCTGGTGTGCCTGGCCTCAGTTGTATACTCCTCCTGTTAGGCAGGATGGTAGCCAGTGTGTCAGCCATGGTTTTAGGTGCCATTCTCTGGCTCATGGGGGCCTCAGTTCTCTGAGTGGGTCCTAATGGCCCTAGCGGATCAACGTCAGTATGCTGAGATACCTCCTCACCTTTCAAGGCTGATATCAAATGTTCTCTGCAAAGCCATCCTTGATGTTTCTCCAAATACTAGGCAATTAGCTTCCTTCTTGGTGTTCTCATACCACCCTATACATTACTTTTCTGTCACATTTACTACAGTGTATCACAATTATTTATTGACATTTTCTCTCTTTTTCTATATCATGACCCTCTCTCTTTGACTAGGGACTGTGTCCTTATCATTACAGTATCCTCCAAACAGAGGATTTATGTTTATTGGTTGCTTTGATGATTTAAGGAGTTAGAGTTCAGACCCAAGGTACCATAACTGGTCAGAAAAGGAAATATCTTTGTTTGGAGAGATTTTTAACCATTCTCAGAACATGCCCTTTGAGGAAAGTCCTGGATGACTCCTATTTAAATTATCCAGACCAGGCTATGTGGAGAGTATGGAGTGCAGGTGGCATACCACTGAGACTTCTCAGGTGCTTCTGGATAGTCCAGCAGAAATCATGGCTTGTAGCCCTCATATCAAATTATGCCTGGTTTCCCCAAACCCTCACCTTAGTTAATGAAGCCTGACATGAAAAAGCTGTCTTTTTTCCTCTCATTAAGGGATGATTGATCTTCAGCCTTGTTTCTTTTCTTTTCTAAGGTGAGGGTTGGAGGCTCTTGTTACCAAGGAATGACTCCTTCCCAAAAAGATAGGTAACCAAAATGTATGGACCTCTCTCCCAAGGCACGTATTTTCTCAAGGGAATTTTGGCCAGCTTGCTGTATCATTTGATTTCTTGCTCATGCTATGTGACCATAGTCCTGGATATCTTTTAAATTTTGAATGTATTAGGGGCAGATCTCAGACCTTTTTGAGACAATACTTCCTCTTTAACCAAAAAACAGAGCAAGAGAATTTGAACCTGGCTTCAGTGTAAATTTACTAAGATTCTTTTGCAACTAAAATATGTCCTAGCACTGGGAAGAGTTCATTCCGGTCATTTTTGCAAACCTCTTCTCTATGGTGTTCTTGTCCACCCACTAACCCAGATGGATATCTGTAAAACTATTTATTAATACTTCCTCAAGGACAAAAAAATAAAAATTTTCTATTGTCCCAATCTGTGACCAGTTCTTAGGAGCAATGCCTTTTCATTTTAGCATTTTTGGCCAAGTTCAGTATTTGAAA